AAAGGGAGAGAGAGAGAAAGGGAGAGAGAGAGAAAGAGAGAGAAAGGGAGAGAGAGAGAGAGAGAGAGAAGAGAGAGAGAGAGAGAAAGGGAGAGAGAGAGAAAGGGAGAGAGAGAGAAAGGGAGAGAGAGAGAAAGGGAGAGAGAGAGAAAGGGAGAGAGAGAGAAAGGGAGAGAGAGAGAGAGAGAGAGTTTCTGTTCAACCACAGACAGCTAGGCCACAGATTTATACAATAATAACCATTGTCTTTCACGTCTGTGTTACAGAGGTCAGGGCTCTGTGCTCCTACATATAGTGCAGTGGGCTGTGGAGCACTCGGGCACAGAGTGTGATTGGGGTGGTGGGAGAGACGACCCAGGGAGGGAAGGGGAAGAATAGGGAAGGGGGGAAGGGGGGAAGAGAGGAAGGGGGAAGGGGGGAGGAGGTTACACAATGGGATCTGCTGACGAGTGATGACAGACAGTTTAAGCTTTTTGTGTCACTTCTATTCTCTCATCTTGCCTGTTTATTCTGTCTACCTGTCTGTTGATCCGTCGTCTACCTGTCTGTTGATCCCTTGTCTCCCCGTTTATTAATCCATTGTGTATCTGTCAATTCTTATTATCTCCCGGTCTGTTAATCCTCGGTCTCACTGTCTGATATTGCGTCCTGTACCTGTCTGTCAACCGACCGTCTCTCTCTGACGGTCCTCGTACATACAGGCTCCCAATCACTGTTGAGTGCACGCAAGGAAAGCCTTCGAGGAACGGTGCCCCGTGACCCCTTCCCTATTCAGGGTTCGAACGCGGGTCTTTGTCTTTTCAAGTCTTCACAAACCAGTTAAGTCATTTCCCAGACAGGAATAAATATATCCTGTGAAAGGCCAATTATTGGCATCCGACTGGTGTCAAACGTCATGGTAACTGGTGTCAATAGTCATTCCATCTGGCGTCAAACGTCATTCCCACTGGTGTCAAACGTCATTCCCTCTAGTGTCAAACGTCATTCCAACTGGAGTCAAACATCATTCCAACTGGTGTCAAACGTCATTCCATCTGGCGTCAAACGTCATTCCATCTGGTGTCAAACGTCATTCCATCTGGCGTCAAACGTCATTCCATCTGGCGTCAAACGTCATTCCATCTGGCGTCAAACGTCATTCCATCTGGCGTCAAACGTCATTCCATCTGGCGTCAAACGTCATTCCATCTGGCGTCAAACGTCATTCCCACTGGTGTCAAACGTCATTCCCTCTAGTGTCAAACGTCATTCCAACTGGAGTCAAACATCATTCCAACTGGTGTCAAACGTCATTCCATCTGGTGTCAAACGTCATTCCAACTCTACCACGCACAAGCCACTTGACTGGTCTACAAGCAGGCACCAAACTGCTCCAACAACCCCCAATTGGCTAGTTACACTATTACTCCGTCTCCGTCAGGCCCAAACAACCAACCAGTCACACACCCCTAAACACCCGCTTCCATGTTACTAACACCTCGTGAGTCTTCCAAGAACTCGAACCTCACAACACATACCGAAATAACATACAGAATACTTCAGTAATGCCTCACATACACACGAGGAATATGTTGTTCAAACTTGCATGGAACAAACTTACAATTCTGATGAATAGAAGATAATAATAATAATATTAATAATAATAATATTATTATTAAGTAATATTCAAAGATTGCCTTAGACCTTTAGAGATGAGAAGAGTCAAGTGAGAGGGGTCACTAGGAGTGAGAGATAGGAGAGGGCTTATGAGGGCTTGATGAGGGCCTTACCACCAGCCCTCATAAGACGTGTGGGACCCCTCATGAAGCAAGACCTCCTCTCATCATCCACGGAGCCATAAGCAATACAAGGGAAATATGAGGTGATACTCCAGCCGCAGCTGGAGAATTAACCACATTAATGATGCAGGTATCAGAACTCGCTATCACTCAAGCGACTCGCTATCACTCAAGCGACTCGCTGCAGTTACTGTGGCCGCCAAAGCCGCCTTGTAAAGCCGTGCTGGTGATATCTCCAGCAGAGATATCTCTACTCTTCCTACCCCAGCAGAGATATCTCTAACCTACCTCCCCCCTCAAGCAGAGATATCAGCCCAATTATCAACGTAATGTAGAACACATTCCGCCAGAAACAAGGTGGTCTAGTCTGTTATTGCAACATACTGGAACACCTTTCTCAACGTGAGCTGCTTTGCAACGTTATTATAAAAATTGTTACACATAAGAAGAGAAATAACTGGTTAAGCCATCTGTTGGTTCTGGGGAAAGGTTCCCTCACACATATTGGACACCACACACACATATATTGGACACCACACACACACATATTGGACACCACACACACACATATTGGACACCACACACACACATATTGGACACCACAAACACACATATTGGACACCACAAACACACATATTGGACACCACAAAGGACACCCGAAGAGTCTTAAATATACAAAACCCAGTTCCCTTCACCAATATATTTACACTTTCACCGTTAAAAAATATATATTAGATTAAACAGATTATAACTACAAGTATATACATTACTGTCACTCACGCAGGACACTATGGCGTTGACAGTGTACACCAACTCCAGTGTTTCCACCGTCCACGTGTTGACCAGACCACACACTAGAAGGTGAAGGGACGACGACGTTTCGGTCCGTCCTGGACCATTCTCAAGTCGATACTTGTCCACGTGTACTGATAAATACTGGCGAGTTCACCTTCTACGTGGGCCAGTCCACTGACACAGTATCACAGGTGCCTACACCCCACTTTCGCTCTCCTGCTCCTCACTGGTAGAGGTCTTCAGCGATCACGCTGACAAGGGGGTCAGAATCAACCATATACAGGGGGTAGTTAACCCCTGGTAGAAGTCTCTATAGCAACCTGCTAGCAGCACTTCACGATAGGCACCTCACAAGCCAATGAGGTGCGTTGGCTCTCCGTTACTCAAGTCCGTTACTCTCCCAAGCCAATCCCGGGTACTTCGATCTCTACCAACGCTGCATATTTTAGCAGCTAACACACTGCCCAGATCGACGGCGGGTTACTTAGTCTTCTTCCAGGACCAAGCTGAGAGTACGTGGACTGCCCAAGGTAAACTGCCTTCCTCAGTACAACTGCCGCCACACGTCACTTCTATGGACATAAAACGTCATCAGTTAGATGGACGGTACACTGGGGAAACCATGACGTAATACTCACTCACCTGGGAGTTGACATTATGCACAACAGATGGCGCTGATCATGACACGCCATCATCCACCAGAGGCCACGGTAACCTCTCTTGCTGACTAGGACAGGAAACCAGAGCCATTTGTTGCTGTCACGCCACCACCAATAGATGGCGTTGTCCACGTAGCGTCCAATATCCAGGGAACTGAGGTACCGACCCACAGATTGCGCCGAAATCGCCAAGCCATACTCCAATGGTGGTGATACCGTAACAGTACCGTTTGGTTGGTCAGTAAGCTATTGTGGTGACCCTGCAGAGGTGGACAGGCCTGAACACCGTAGTTTCCTTCGTCAATACGCGTCCCGTTCGTGATCACAAGTGCGGTGTGGCCCGGACGGGGTGGCCACAGGCAGGCAAGATGTATTCAGTTCTTGTTCACTTTGTTTTTTGCAGTTTCGAGGGGACTAAGTCGACCAAGGGAGCGTCCAAGATGCGTCGGGATCTGCTCAACGCTGAGATCTGTCAGTTGAGGGATCTGTTGCCGCTGCCGCCCTCCACACGCCAGAGACTCTCCCAGCTCCAGCTGATGGCCCTCGTCTGTGTCTACGTCAGGAAGAGTAACTACTTCCAGCAGGGTGAGTATCTCTCTCCTCTTCTGTCTCTCTCTCTCTCTCTCTCTCTCTCTCTCTCTCTCTCTCTCTCTCTCTCTCTCTCTCTCTCTCTCTCTCTCTCTCTCTCTCTCTCTCTCCTCTTCTGTCTCTCTCTCTCGTCTACTGCTACTTCAGTGTGGTGCTTCCTGGGGGGATGGAGACCACGGGACTTGGACTGTATGGATTCCTGTCTAAACTTTCCACTTACATAGAGTTTAGTAAGACAGTTTGTCTTCCTTCCGGCAACCAACTGACACGATGAATCGTTTATAATAGCATAAAGACACATTTTCATTTTGATCTCATATACAACTTATATATTATAGGGTTTATGCATCGTTTGGTCTGGGTAAGGCTAATTAAGTTTTATTTATTTGATTTGAAGATAAATTCTCAGGCAATGTTCATCCAAGCTAAGATCTTCCCTGACAGTGCTGTTGTATAATTTGTTATGTTTATATCCCAAACTGGTTGTTTGTCATATATAAATTATATTATTAATTATTATATTTGTGTGTATAGTATAATCTAGGGATGGTTAGGTTAGGTGTGTTGGAGCTGTTGACGTGATTGATTGATGAAGATTAAGCCACCCAAAAGGTGGCACGGGCATGAGTAGCTCGTAAGAGGTGGCCCTTTTGAGCCATTACCAGTATCAATAGATGATACTGGAGATCTGTGGAGGTGCGACTGCACCCTGCGTGACGGGAGATGTCTCCCAGACCAAACGGTGACCAGATGGATTGATTGATTGATAAAGATTAAGCCACCCAAAAGGTGGCACGGGCATGAATAGCCCGTAAGTGGTGGCCCTTTTGAGCCATTACCAGTATCAAGAGCTGATACTGGAGATCTGTGGAGGTGCGACTGCACCCTGCGTGACGGGAGATGTCTCCCGTGAGAGTGAGAAGATCTGAGATCAGTATGGGGCTCAAACCGGCGTCCAGAAGAACCCCAGACTCTCGCCGAATAGAACTGATTGATTGATTGATAAAGATTAAGCCACCCAAAAGGTGGCACGGGCATGAATAGCCCGTAAGTGGTGGCCCTTTTGAGCCATTACCAGTATCAATAGATGATACTGGAGATCTGTGGAGGTGCGACTGCACCCTGCGTGACGGGAGATGTCTCCCGTGGACCAGATGGAGCTGTTGACAGCTATTTGTACTGGCTGTAAGCGTGTGAACCCCGAGGAGAGGTGGAAATCGAGCATTTTAACAGGTTTTGAACACAATCAGTTGTGAATCATGTCCTTTGTAAACACAACTCGTCTTTTAACCATGTCGTAGCTCAGTCGATTAAGGCAGCGTCCGGGATCCTCTAGGACGTAGGTTCGAACCCTCGTCACGGCCCCTTGTGGATTTGTTCACAACCCGTTCTCATGACAGCCCTTCATCATCACAGAACTTTCTCATCACAGACCGTCCTCAGTGTCACTCATCCTCATCATAGACCGTCCTCAGTGTCACTCATCCTCATCACAGACCGTCCTCAGTGTCACTCATCCTCATCACAGACCGTCCTCAGTGTCACTCATCCTCATCGTAGATCGTCTTCATCAAAAAATATAAAATGTTCTGTCCATGCGGCCGCCACACGACCAAGTTTATGAATGCTTTATACAACACTATATATATATATATATATATATATATATATATATATATATATATATATATATATATATATATATATATATATATATATATATATATATGTATATATATATATATATATATATATATATATATATATATATATATATATATATATATATATATATATGAGAATTTTGTTATTTCAAATTAACTTTGTGTTAAAATTGGTGAATGCGTTTTTGAGGTCAGTCGCTGGATGGAATGGCCAAAACCTGAGGATAGGAAGTCAAGTTCTCACTTACGAAAGCTCAAGCACTTGGACGACGGTAGAGCGACGGTCTCGCTTCATGCAGGTCAGCGTTCAATCCCCCGACGGTCCAAGTGGTTGGCCACCATTCCTTCCTTTCCCCCGTCTCGTCCCAAATTCTTATCCTGACCCCTTCCCAGTGCTATATAGTCGTAATGGCTTAGCGCTTTCCAATTATAATTCCCTCCCTCATGTAACTTTCAACGTGATACGGGTTGAAAGGGAGGAAATTATCAGGAGAAAGGGCCAAGGGAATTATATAGGAGACTGATTATATCAGTCCCCTATATAATCATTACGGCTATATAGCACTTGGGAGGGGTCAGAATAAGGATTTGGGATGGGACGGGAGGATGGAATGGCTTCCAACCCCTTGGACGGTCGGGGATTGAACGCCCAAGCGTCCAAGTGAATTGAACATCCAGCCCAAGTGATAAGGTTTGAAGTCGACAGTCCATTGTTTTGATGCTGTGCTGGAAGAGGCTTACTGGAGCTCTGACGTACCGAGGCGACCATCTTGGCGATACCTTGAGACCTCGTAACTCACCACCTGACTGATCGTAACTCCCGGCCCCGCCTCCGTATAGAGACATTAGTCCCTGACCACCATATTATTAGTGGAGGCAACCACGGGGGCGCCAAGGTATTGGGACACCGTCAACCACAGTCTTGGGACACCGTCAACCACAGTCTTGGGTCACCGTCAACCACAGTCTTGGGTCACCGTCAACCACAGTCTTGGGTCACCGTCAACCACAGTATTGGGACACCGTCAACCACAGTCTTGGGTCACCGTCAACCACAGTCTTGGGTCACCGTCAACCACAGTCTTGGGTCACCGTCAACCACAGTATTGGGACACCGTCAACCACAGTCTTGGGTCACCGTCAACCACAGTCTTGGGTCACCGTCAACCACAGTCTTGGGTCACCGTCAACCACAGTCTTGGGTCACCGTCAACCACAGTCTTGGGTCACCGTCGCAAGACTGTGGTTGAGTCTCCTGTGTAAAAGCCACATTCGTCACTGTTGCTGACATTCATTATTATCTCTCTCTATTCATCATTATCGCAGGAACAGTGTATCTGATAATGGAAGACATTTTTCTATTAATCAGCTTTGCTAAGATCCAGAAGTTCCATTCATGTGGTTAATAGGGGGGTCCCAAGACCCCAGGAGTCTTAGTAGGGGGGTCCCAAGACCCCAGGAGCCTCGTTAGAACATAGACAATAGCAAAAAACAGCTGTATCATCCACGATAATTAAAACAATAACATCATATATATATATAACATGAACAATAACAATACCAACAATTACAACAAACAAACCAACAGCCAAATACTAAAAAACAAATGACCAAACAAACCTTCCACAACCACATCAACCAAAAAAAAAAAAAAATTCAGAATGTCTTTTTTTTTTTTGTCAAACATTTTTTTTTTGTTGCCTTCAACAAATAAAGTTTGAGGAATGTACAAACACAGAACATAAACACACTCTCGGCTACTCAAGGATGGTGTGGGGGGGCGGGGGGGGGGGAGAGGGGGGGAGAGGGAGAAAAAGATTATAAGTGGGGAAGGTAATTCGAGTCTTACGAACACGTGGCTTAGAGTCGGAAGTTTGCGTTGAATTCCCGCCCGGCCGATTACTTCATAATTACTAATGTTGGCTTGAAGGTAATTTGGCTGAAGCTGGTCAGTTTGATCGATATGACGGGGGGGGGGGGAGGGGGAGGGAGGGAGGGAGAGAGAGAGAGACAGAGAGACAGACAAAGAGAGAGAGAGAGAGAGAGGAGAGAGAGAGAGAGAGAGAGAGAGAGAGAGAGAGAGAGAGAGAGAGAGAGAGAGAGAGAGAGAGACAGAGAGAGAGAGAGAGAGAGAGAGAGAGAGAGAGAGAGAGAGAGAGAGAGAGAGAGAGAGAGAGAGAGAGAGAGAGAGAGAGAGAGAGAGAGAGAGAGAGAGAGACACAGAGAGAGAGACAGAGAGAGTTTGTTCTTTATCTCTTGTGTACAATAATGTGCTCACATATATGTGCTTGCAGGACGAGCTTCAGCTCCACAGCCCCATCTTTCAGTAGCCTGTGATAATGGGTACCGGGCCCTCTTCATTCTTATCCAACCCATCCTCCTGTTAAGATAATATTTTTATCGTAACTACATATCCACCATCGTACATATACTGACGTATTGAACAACTAGATAGTACATTTGGTACTATTCACTTTATAGTCCGCAAAATATAATGCTAAAACGACTTAAAACATTCTTAGTCCTAGTATAGCACATATATGTACTACATTAGGCCTTAGAGAAAGCATATATAAGGCCTAGGATAATTACATTAGGTTTTATTAGCGACATAAATAAAAAAAAAATCTGGTTTCACCAATTCAAAAGTACCAATTTCTACTTTCTAATTGTCCATTACGTCAATATATGCAAGATGGTGAACATAGTTACTATAAGTACTGTCTTAACAAGAGGATGAGCTGTTCTTATATCATACCTGTTCTTGAAATTAAGAATGGAGTTTCACCTCAAATCACCTCCCTCCTTTAAACTTATTCCATAGACTCACGATACTCTCAAGAAGTCCTTCCTTATGTTCTTATATCTGTAAGAATCTGTTAATGTTCTATAAGAATCTGTTAATGTTCTATAAGAATCTGTTAATGTTCTTTAGAAATCTGTTAATGTCTTTAAAAATCTGTTAATGTCTTTAAGAATCTGTTAATGATTTTAGGAATCTGTTAATGTCTTTAAGAATCTGTTTATGTTCTTTAAGAATGCCCCTGTTACCTAGCAATAAAATAGGTACTTGGGTGTTAGTCAGCTGTCACGGGCTGCTTCCTGGGGGTGGAGGCCTGGTCGAGGACCGGACCGCGGGGACACTAAAAAAAAAAAGCCCCGAAATCATCTCAAGATAACCTCAAGATAGATTTGTCAATACTTTTAAGAATTTTCTCTTCTCTTTTCAACCTACCAGATCTTTTTGTCTTTTGTTGAAGATTTAACCTTCCAATTATCTCATATTATCCTTCCAGCTTCCTCATACCCGTTCCAAGTCTCATCACCTTGCAT